ATTGTTGTCTCTCCCAACATGTTGTGTTGGACGGCTTGAGGCATCCCGCATTCATGCTGATATTGATTCGTATTTGCCATCTTGTGGTCGTGGCTTCTCAAAGCGGGATCGGTTGCCACAGTATTTACCGTGAAACCTCTTCCCGGCTCCGGTGGCAAACTTCAACATACATCCTGCGCGCTCTTCTCTCAACAGGAGCCATTGTGAAGCTGTCTGGAAGCGACGAAAAAGCATGGCTGCCTCTGGAGCCACGGCCGTGTCCTATGTATAACTCGCTAGTTTGCCAGGGGCTATATGGGCCTAATCGCGGCGATGGTGCTGTTAATGGGCAAGAGGAGCACGTTGCGCAATGCTGCTAGTGACATGCCTAGGTTATGTTAGGATGCTAGCGGTGATGGGAGTTGATTTAATGTTTTGTTGGTTGTCATGTTGTTGTCGTTGTTGTTTTTTGTTTTTTTATTGCTGCTGCTACTGCTGCTGCTGCTGCTGCTGCTGCTCTTGCTCTTGCTCTTGCTCCCACTTGGTCCTGTTGCCTAAGCTGTTGCTGACGTTCTTGGTGATGGTGCTGCTGCTGTTGTATTGTCTTGTAACCGTTGTAATGCCGAGTTCAACAAACACTGCTGGATTCTGGAGTTTGCTGTTCATGGTCCCTCCCTCCTTGTGTTTGTTTTGTGGCGCCGTCTTCCTTATTGCCTCATGAATGTGTGCATCGGTCTGCACACACAGCCCTACTTTCAATACGGGTCCACACCCATTATCAATTACAGCGCTTGATCGAAAGAAAGACAACTACTACCTATATTGTGACACTCGAACTTAGAAGTCCCGTTATAAACATATCATGGTAGTTATAGATCCTGACAGTTGGTAGTACCTTTAAAAAATGTTATAGTACATCATCGCATAGTCAGTTCTAGCAAATTTTCAGCATATTATTTCACAATACAGTACGTTACAGTATGTGCCCAGGAGAAGATGCGATCTTGTCCCGGCCGGAGTGAGGACAAGAAGTGCGGTTTAGGGTGTAGCGTTCTTCGGGACGTGTGTAGAAAGCACGTCGAAATGTGGCTTCAATGGCCCGTTGAAGATTGTGTGGTTCAAGTTCCGGTGTGCTTGCCTTTCTCGAGGAAGAAATCTGCGAGGCGCTTCGGAAGCCGATCAAAGTGCGCGTGGATTCGAGATGCACGTCCGCAGTAACAGCTTGCTCTGTGCACTCCACTACATTACATTCCAACACATCGGCCTTCATACTAGTGCTCATGTCAACGTCAAGTCAGATGTCACTTTAGGTGGCTGTGCCGAGAGTTGAACTGAACTCATGACGAGTGTCCAGCCGAACAATGGGACGGGTCTTCTTCAAGCTCGGTGCGTGGTTTGTGGGGGACGTGTCCTCTGAATGCTGTAAGGCTGCACTTATGCTTCCTCCTCTTAGAATAGTCTGGAACTGACCTGGCTAGCTCGCCTTGGACAACAGAGCGCTGAGGTCGCCGGCACACAGGCCTTCCCACTGCAACCATGTGGAATGCTGAAGACGACGAAGATCAGGATGGCGCATTCCGCCAAACCGGCATGTTGGGGTTCGGAGTTCTGAGTCTCTTGGCTGTTGTATATGGCGCAAGTGAGCAGAACCAGATGCTGGGACTAAGAAGAAACAGACATCGAGCAAGATGTTGACTTGCGGTGCTGCTGCTTCTCATGTCGTATGCCTGACGTTTACACGGTGTTGCCGTTTCGCGGCACATCGTGCTTTCTATGTTTATGTAATTACTTGCAACAAAACGTACACATAGTAAGACTATCAACAGAGATCGGCAGCAGCTCGCGGCAATCGAAGGAGTCCAACATCTCTGGCAGGCAGATGGCAGCGACGAAAGGCTGAACGCGGAACGCGAGAAAGAGAAAGGAAGATCGATCAGACTCTGGGCTTAAATGCACAAGATCTTGCACGCAGACCTTTCAAAATCCTTGAATAAGGGGATATGCCTCGGGTCATATTAGGGATCCTACTATAATTTAGGGTACATTTCTTCATTAAGGGATATTGGGAGGTCTGGCTAATGCGGCAGACTGCTGCCCTACCTTGCAGCTCTGGCCGCACCCAATGCCCCGAAGGTTCTCCCTGTCTTCGACCCCTTCAAGCTACAATAGCTATACCCAGGAAGATCCTTCACTGCCTAATGTGGGCCTTCCACAACCGGAATCTCACCCCTTTGAAGTTTAAAAACAGAGGAGCCTTGCAGCAGTTGATGGACATGTACCTCAAAACCTAGGGCCCTTCGATGCACCTCCCTCGCCCCCAATGAAACGTGTTCATTGCAAGGCGACCCTCAGCACGTTCAACCCAGGAGATAAAAGAAAGCAGACCCTGTGGGGTTTAAGGTCTACGTAGCATCTAGGGTTCATGCTCCATGAGGCAAAAGGTGATCGAAAGAATCAGAAACGGCTATAATTATGTAATATTATGTAGTTAAGCCGATTAAGCTCTGAAGCCGCTAACAAATCCGTGTAACGCCAAAGCTCCAAACCCCAAGACCCAAACCCTAAGACAGAAACCCTCAAACCCGAAACCGCGTAATTATCGCTAAACAAAAACCGCACTGCAAGAGACTTTACACTGTAAGAGACTTAAGCCCAAAGCCCTGACAACTCTGCTCTGCTCTGCATTGAGGCTCCGAAGGGCCTACGACCCATCCGAGTGGTTGGATGGAAGTGTCGTCTCCATGCGGTTTGGAAGCATGGAAAGGGCAGTGTGGGGGGGGGTTTATTAGTTTAGGGTTTCGGGTTTAAAGTTTGGAGTTTTCAGTTTTGGAAGCTGGGTTTACCACTTTCCTAAGTTCCGGGGCTTTATAGGGCACAAGGGGTTCTTTGCGCTGCGCCTGTTCAAACCCTTGAGGTCACGTCCTTAGCTCTACAGCCATACCGTAACACAGCAATCCCTGCAAAGTTATCCTATACTATATCGCAGAATTCCAATTGTTCAAGCCCCTTTCCTACCAACCCGGAGCAGCATGTGCAGGAAGAACTTCGGCATCTTCGTGGACGCCATCCATGCCTGGCGCCTACCCAGGGAGCTTCGAGTCTTTCAGGGGCTTCAAAACCCGAAATCCTAAAGATTTAAGGGTTTAGGGCTTGGGGTACACATCCTACATAACCCAAACCCTGGCAAACAATCTTGGCTTGTCTGGGATGTGCATCAGGGTCTGTCGACGGATTTTCCAACTGGTCCCTGCAGAGCTGATGCCGTCACAAGCCTTTTTCTGGATTCACGGGCTTTCCTTTTTAGGGGTGCAGTGGTTTTTACCCTGCAGTTTGCGGGGCTTTGAGCCTAGAGCTTCCTGGGTTCAATTCCGAAGAAACTGCCGGGTTGAGAATCCAGAGGAGAAGACAAATTCAGCGCAGAACGTTTTGCAAAGCTGGTAGCCACTTAGTCGGAGCGCTCACGTTTTTGAACCCTATCAATCCAAACCTTACCGTTGGAGCCTCATGACCCTCATATTTCAAGCACTCCCTCTTTTCAGATAACCTGAGAGCTGCTGAGGATGTTCGGGTGATGATTCCTGTCGGTTACATTCCAGACACCCTGCTCCTCAATGGAACGCCGGACCTGGATGTTGGCAGCACCGTACAGCCAGGGTCCCAGAAATTTGCCTTCCGTTCCAACCCGACATCTTCCTGTCTTCCTGCTGCTGTGCTCGCATGCCGTATGCATCTCTGCCAGTTATGATAGAGTTAAAGAAGTGTCATCCTCTTTGCATCCATCAAGCCCCGTCCTCGGCATGAGCTTATGCATGCTGCATACTCAGTACAGTCTGCTGGCCACACTGGGTCAGAGCCAACCCTACTGACCGGGCAGGCGATTCGTGACACCTGAGCTTCTATCGACCGCGTCATTTGAGAAGAGTGAGTATGGTTTTCCGGAACCCCTACGTAAGCTGCTTCCAACAGGGTAGTTGTGCTCTCTCTCTCTCTCTCTCTCGCGATTGGTTCGGTTACTACATGCACGAATCGAAGCTCATCTCATGTAAGCAGGGCTCGCTGTAGCTACGCCGAATTTGTAGCCATGCGGCATGAACGAGTGGCAATTACGGACGTCTGTTGCTAAAACCACAACACGATGAAACGGGAACGCCTGCATGCATGCACGACCTAGACCCCGAACCCACGAGCTGTCGTTCGCTCAAGGTTCCGCATCTGTGGCTACCGTGGCAAGGACCACAAAGGCCAAGACCGCTTTAGCTGTCTCTCTGGCCGCATCCAACATGTACACTTTATGGCAGGTTATAATATCGCTTCATAACAGTCGTAGACCAGGATGTCTGGTCACATGTTTTGGGAATGGGGTACTTCTTGTTTGAAGCCGATTGATCCGTGATTTTCAGGCTTGCTGACCTCTTTGTGAAGCTGTGTTGCAGCACAGTTGCCATACAATGCTTGTGTTTGGAAAAGGGGGCACGCGACCGCTTGCAGTGAGGCTCCATGCTTCCGCCAGCACCCCCGAAGGAGGAGATTCGTTTGCGGCATCAGAGGGTGAACTCAGCAAGGCATCCCGGTTAGAGCCATCGTATTCTTCTTGTGGGGTGTCATCAGTGTCATCTGAGTCTGACCAACTTGGACAGTCCAACAGGTGCCGAACCATGGGTCAAAGGGGCAGCCAAGCATCTTGACCCTGCCATGCCACGTAAGTCAGTCCAGTTGCCGGCCGGTAGCTGTTCGCTTTCCAGAGACTGACAGGAGGAAGAGAGGAGTACTGGCAAAGGTAAGGGCAAGATGCAGAAGGGCTCAAAAGGCGGCTCTTTGTCTCAACTATTCTCGGCCTCGCAAGAATAGAAAGCCTGACCTTGGATGCCTCACGATTTGTGCGAGACTCCTTCATGGGCATAGTTGGCCCCAGCGGTTTGAAGCCCCTTTGAGCACACGGACATGGTTTTGTATTTTGTATCTAGGTGTTATGGACTTAGAGGGTGCATACACGAAACAGCAATAGACGATTGACTCTGCTTCTGTACATATCTGCGTTTACACATGCACACACCGAGAAGCATAGATACCGTATGCAAGAAGCAAGCCGGCTGTGTGTTGCAGTTTGCATCGCTAAACCCTACACCCTGGTGGGTGAGAGCCTGAACACTGGGCCGATGCTGTGATGGAAAGCCTTGACTGGTGGGTACCCTAAACCCACTTCCTTTTCTCAGGCGCCGACCGTGGCCGGAAAGGCACCGCAGTTGTGACCTGCTCCCAGCATATGCACCCTAAACCCCCAAATCCTAAACCCTAAAGAGCCAATGTGTGGAGTGAGTGACGAAAGAGCCAATGTGCTGCGTCGTGTACAAGAAACAGGAACCTCGCCCAGGCATGTCCGAGTGTGAGTGCCTGAAACCCTACCTTTCGACGGCTCACCCTAAACCCTAAACCCTACATGCGGGCTCGTCCTGGCTAAGTGGGAGGGAAAAAAAACTCTTTTAAGATCCCTGGTCTATGGCAGAGCCTGGATTACCATGAGTTTTGAAGAAGATGATGTCCAGAAAGGCTCCCCTGAATTTTCGGTATCAGAGTTTAGGGACACCCCTGCATGGGACATGTATGTCCTGTACTTTTCCCAGTCTTGCTATTTGAATTGCGCCCTATACCTCTCTAGCCCACCACTTCAAGGCCACTATGCCATTTTCGGAGTACAGCGCAACTCCACAGGTGGGGCTGCGAATGGCGAGCAGACCTCAGGCAAGTCCAGCAAGGGCATGAGAGTTTTCCTGTTACCGCGTCTGCGATTCGCGCATGCAAAACTTGCTGATGTTGAACATTAGGGATGAGACACATCGCACGATCTGAAGCCATCGACAGTCGCTTTTCAAAAGTTCCAGGCAGCTCCGGCATTTGCTGGCAGCTCCTGTGTGCTGTTCCATTGCCGTCCATGTCCCCAACTAGAGCTATTCTTGTTATTGGAATTCCGGACTTTTGGAAGCCTTCGCACGGTAGCCAGCTTGAGAATGGCCTCGACGACGATGTTTTACGTCAGAGGTTACAATCTTAACCCTAAACTCTATAAACCCCGAAGCCTAAACACTAAGAGGACCTCCTGGCGGGACCTGGCTGCCTGCATCTTCGTCAAAATGGGAACCGAGAGTTGATTCCAGTCTACCAAAGCAGAACCACAGGAAACCCTGAAGAATATATTATAGTCTGAAATAATTAGTTACCAATACTATTTTTTTGGGGGGGGTCCTTATAAAAATAAAATACATATACATATATATATATACTTATTATAAATTACCCGAAACCCATTAATCTTATACGTACATTACACGGCCCCTACATTAATTACACTGCTTCCAACACGTTCCCATGCCGGAGGCTACTCCGTTTGGGTACCCGACCGTGTGCTGGAAAGTGAAAGCACCCTCGCGCGGCAGGTGTCATGCCCAGCAAATTTCAACCACATGAGAATGTCCCCATGAGAATGTCCCAGCTATGCAGATGCACAGCCTCTCAATCTGGTACATGGTGCATGCGTTGTTAATGCGATTGCTTATTCGCTGTTCATTTCTATGTTTGTGTGTATTGCTGCGCTTGCTCTCGTTTACACTGTATCGCACCTACCTTTATTTACATGTGTATGTGTAGGGGGAGAGATTGAGATAGGGCGTGTGCTGGGCGGAGCAGAGGCACCCTTCCAGGACGAGAGACGCAGAGCAGAGTAGATTGAATCGTGGGTTTGGGATCATGTCTTCTGCTTCCCTTTGAAATTCCTCCGTAAATTCTATGGCCCTAAACCCTTCCGAGTGGCTTGCAAGGAGAAGTTTGAGGTGAATGCTCTGCACGCCACATACCTTGAGGAACAGTGGCCCAGCGGCAGGGAGTCCTGTCATGCTTGCACAAGGAAAAGCAGCCTTCCGAATGAAGACCCAAACATACCTGGCTCCAGTGCATTGTCGTTTTTTTAATACGCCAATCCCTAAACCACTCAACGTGAACCTCGCATGGAATGTCCGAGTATGCAAACCGAAGCGCGGAAACCCGAACCCCAAACCTTTAGTTCTAAGCTTGGAGCCCCAAGCCCGCAACCCCCAAAGATGTGGAACTTGCTGCCTTGTGCGAGTGTGAGAGTCGAAACCCCCAACGGCAGAACTCTAAACTAAAAGAACCCTGCCTCGTTGTTCATTCCGGAGATTCCGTTGTTGGCAGTTGCCGAACCGCGATCAAACAATCTCGGGTTTAGGATTTGGAGTGTAGCCCTTGAATCCCAGCCTCCGGACTCTGAACCCCAAGCATGAAATCTGCAGATTCTGCCTTTTTCATGCCAGAAGGCCTGGCAGCCGAGTTTAGAACCTGCCGAGGTACGGACAGACAGACCGCAGGCGGCGAACTTCCATGGAGAGTCTTCGGAGAGAGTAGCTGAGTAGCCCTCATGGCCACCAGCGGTACATGATGTAAGCTATCCATATCAAACAGCAGTTCAATAGTCCCAGTGCAAAAGCAGAAGCATGTAGCCAAAACTGTCTTGTATTCATGAACCGGCAGCCGGGAGCAATGCACGGGAGCATGGAAATACCCAGCATCGGTACTACGAAAAGCCGCACTGCTCATGTCAGTGTTAACTGCCATGCCATCGTATAATGGTAGCAATTGCTCCACCAGAGCCTGAGAAGAGCCCGAGATTGTACCCGGACATGGGACATAAGAGGAGAGTCCCTCGGACCATCCTTTGGAGATGGCAACTTCTTCTGGAAACAGTCTTTGGGCCGTTTGGGTTTTCGGGTGAGGGCTTGAAAGGTTCAAAGGGCTACTTTTGGGGATGAACGAACCGCATGTTACGGAAGGGCCTTGATTCAACATAGCTTTTGCCACAGGGCCACGCTGGCGAGAAAAGGCTTCACGGTGGTTGCCCCTCGGCCAACACCTTGCCCGGGGGTAGTGCTGCTCGAATGTGTTCTTGCGCCGCAAGTTGTTTCTGAGCTCGCAAGGACTATGCGACTTCCTTGCAGTTGGCCCAGGCGAATCGGGCCCTCGGGGAAGCTTCGACGTTGCATTTGGAGTTGTCCGCACATAGAAAATTGAATGACATAGAAAGTTGTCGCAGAGACCGTTCTGAATCATGTGGAGCATATCTATTATTGTTCTGTCCCCTTGCATTCGGTGCGGTGCACATCAGATGCTCCCCATGAACCTGTAAACCATTGGACACAAAACCCTCGATGGGTATGCGTGGCATTGGCATAGCGGCATAGACGTCTTTTAGCATAGGGTGTTAGCTTCAACATTCATGATTTGACGTCCGGGTGGTGATGGGGGGGCTCAACTGTGCAGTGCTTGAGAGGGGCGTGTCTTGCCGCCTGTGCCGTCTTTTGCTGGGCTCGCAGGCCATCAAGCCCAAGACAGAAGTCAAAGCTGATGTGACCACTGCACTGAAGCCGACGCCGGTGTGGCTTACTTTCGAAAGCCGCCGATGCCTGACAGAAATGGGCCATCTGATGTTTGCCACAGGAATACTGGAAAGTGGCTTTTTGCCACACGAGGCCCTGGGGACTTCACAGGCTGAGCGGTATAGAATTCTTGAAACCTGCCTGCCCACGTGCAGTGTACTGTACGACTGTACGACTTGGTTTTTTTTACAATTCAAGCCGTTCTTGTTCTTTTCCTGCAGCGTAAACCCTAGACCCTATAAACCCTAATTGACCCCAGCTACTTTTGCTGACAATGATGTAATGTCATAGGAGCGCCAACAAACTGTGCGCAACAGCTTCGACACTCCATTGAATACACCAAATGGTGTTTTCTCTGTTAATTGGAATATGTCTATCAGCTTATCCTTGTGACGGCTGACCGTGTTCTGTAGCATGCCTCTGTCCTGAACCAATCCCTGCAATGCGGGCTCGTCCTTGCTAAGTGGGAGGGAAAAAATAAACCCTAATTAAACCCTAGCAAAACCCAACCTGCAGCTCAGGAAAGCTTGTCGGCAAGATCCAGATCAGCGCATCGATGACGACTTCCGAGAAGCTTTGGCTTGGGAATTGGGGCCGTTAGGGTCAGGTCGGTTTAGGGTTTTAGGGTTTGGGGTTTAGGGTTTTAGGGGTTGGGGTTTAGGGACTTATGGATTTAGGGTTTAGGGATTTAGGGGTCTAGAAGAAGCTGAAATTGTTCAGCCTTAAAATGCATTCAATACCAAAATCTTGCAGGTGTGTTTTCGGGTTCGGGACCCCTTGGAGGCTTTAGAGTTTAGGGTTTGGGTTTAGGGTTTCTGCCTCTTGGGTGACTGGATGCTGATCCCTAAACCCTAAACCCCCTGAACCCGCACCTGACGGCTGAATCGGCTTCGACAGCACTGTCAGCTCCTCCGCAGCCCTCCCCCAGTTGCAGGGAAAAGGTTTCCACGGCTTGCCAACTAGACCAATACATGCTCATAATTTGTGTGTAATATGAATTCTGCTGTTAATAGGAATCATCATCTCATACCCTTGTCGATGTTGATATTCATTTTGACGTGAACTTTCACAAAAACAGAGATGCAGTGTCGAGCTGTGCATGCGTTCGAGCAGACCTCGCCCCCTCATAATATGTTTTATGTGGCATTGGCATTTTGCGGATTTGCAGCGGGCACGTACCGTGCCTATCTTCCACGCCTGTTGCAGCATAACAGAAGGCAGCAGCTGATACCCCAAAGGCCAACCCACGCAGAGAGGCAAAATAACCCGAGTGCGAGCGCCGAAACCCTAAAACCCTAAGCCTCTAAAATCGTGAACTTCAGGAAAGAACGCTTAGCCGTCGACGCTGCCCTCGCGGTGGGCCTTCCATGGAATTTACTTTGAGCTTCGAGTCTTCGGGCTTGTGTTTTCGGATCCAAGAGTTGCAATATAATATAGAATATACTTTGATTTAGTATTATATAGTTATATAAGCTGTTATTACATAACATGCTACATTTTATTTCGCTATGTTGTAATGGAAGACTGTTAGGTGTGTTCTAGGTACGGGTTCGAGTTTATAGGTCGCAGCACAATCGATCTGGGCTGTTGCTTGAAAGCTTATAACTGAAGAGGGCTGAGGAAGGCAGAGTGGATGGAGCCAGAAGGAGCAGCCCTCGTGCACAAGATAGTATCAGAGAAGAGCGGACAGAAAGAGATTCGGAAAGCTGCAAGACATGGCAGCTTATTGGTCAAGCTTCAAACCATTTCTCGATTCCACCTCCGGGAGCGACAGGTGGCAAATGATGCCATTCAGGCAGGGCCTGCATGGGGTGTAGGGCCTGGGCCTGCCGGTGCAGGTATGAGTTGCTCCCTGTTGTCTGTCTGAGAAAGCACACCTCGGTCCTAGCAACAAAAGCAACCGGAGGTCTGCAGAAAGTGTTCCCCCCTCTTTTGTTTTGTTTGAGTGCTTGTGTAGCAAGGGTTGGGCAGAGATCCATGAGAACGAATCAGAAGTTGCTTGTGGTTTTGGCTGGTTGCTGTGCCGTGCCGTGTCACCACCCAGAACCCTACAGTCCTTGTGCTTTGAAGTGGTGGCTTTTGTCGCCATTTCTGCCAGTGTTTTTCTGTGGTGCCGTGTGGTGCCTCTTGGTCGCTTCCGATGCGAACTCTCATCTCTTCGGTCTTTGGACGGATCTCAACCAGGACCCTCCAAGTACCCTGAAATAGGGGTATATGGTCCCAAATTAAGGGTACTTAGGGTCTTTAGAGGGCAGATGGAGGGTCTAGGAAAAGAACCCGGAGCTCCTCACAATTTTGTTCAGGACGGCTTCAACATCCGAAAGGTGGACGTCAACGATGACAAGGTTCTGATCCGGCTCTCGACCGACGGCGGCTTGCAATTCTGACAGAATCCGAAACGTCATTGGATCTCTACCGTAGGGGCCTTAAAACATTGCAAAAAAATACCGATTCCATTTTGGGTTTTCCTTACTATAATTATAGTATAGCATATCCCAAAACCCTATGCTAATTATTAAGACCCCTGCATTACACCCTTAACCCTGAAACCTTAAAGTCTCTCTGAGCGCTATGACGGCAAGAGGCACTTCGAATGCCCGATCCTCCACTGGGCTTGCTGTAGGCTTTTAGGGTCTTCCAGAAGCACTTGGGGTCCTCATAGGCTTAGCAGGGGAATTTGGACTTTTCCAGAATTTCATATTTACAGTCTTGCGGACTTCACCCTAACATCTTAGAACTCAGGGTGGTCGTGGGGCGCATGCTATTTTCGCACGCTGCGAACGGATCAGCAAGAAACGTACCCACAGCCTAAACCGCGAACCCTTAATCCCGAAAACCTCTATAGACTTGACGACCCGAAACATACGCAGGGAGGCAGATTTGCAAAGGCCGCTGTTGCCGAAAGCACTTTTTTATTCACACATGTGCCCTCCTTTCGACCATTCATCAGGGGTTTGCTGGCGTATGATCCAGGTCAAGCCGGCTGTTCATGATTCATCATACTCTTGCAATCTATTACAGGAGCAGTTGGCACAGAAGCATCGCCTTCAATAAGGCTCCGCTGGAGCCGTTTACCTGGACCCTTTAGCCGTTATTTGTTTCCACCTACGAGTACTTAGCATGCTTACATACCCATTCCAGACAGCAACAGCTCGCACGGAGGGTCCAGTTCAGATGCTTTCACGTTGGTTGCTTCGACATGCGCGGGGCTGATTGCAAGCCTCAGTGGTCCCAGGTCGGCTGCTGCATTTTCCAGCGAATCAACTGTTTCGGGTGCGACGATATGAATTTTGTGTTCCGTCATGAGAAGCTGTGCATCGTTGCACTTTTGGGCTGCCGCACCTGGAGATTTCAGCAATAGACTTAGTCAGAGCGTGCTTTTAAAGCAAAAGGACAGGCTGCTCGCAGACTACTTGGGGCAAGCTGTGCAATGGTAGCTGTCAAACTTGTTTGCCCAGCAGTAGTCTTATGAGATGATTATGGTTTACTGCACATGACGTGAAATCGGTGCGTTGGAGGAGGGGCAGGGGGCTTGCTGCGGCCCCGTATTCAGGCTGCACGTATCTTGAGCTATGATAGACTCAAGGTGACAGACCGAATAGGTGCAGCCCTGGGCCAACTTGCCACATCGCAGCGGGGTCTTGGGTGCCCTGCCTGCAACCCGACACCTCAAGCCACACTAAGCCTATCAAAGCAGGGCTGAAACCGCTGCGGAAGCCCTTAATTTATCCGAAACACCCAGTCTTTAACCCTGAACTCCAGCCGAACTCCCAACCCTGATCGAGAAGAAGGAGAAGAATCGTAAGGTAGACCTCAGCTCTCCCTGTCTCTATATCTCTCTTTGTCTTTGTGTCTCTGTCATGCAACACACGTTCGCAAACGGAGAGAGTAGGAATACCCTATACCAAAGTGGCCAGTCAAGTAAGATAGAACCCGGATGAATAATCCCGTTTTTAAGGAGGGGATTCCATTTTCCATCCTTGTTAAGGGAGTGGGAGGTATTGATCAGGAGTTTGCACTTAAAACACCGAAGCCCCAACACCTGCGGGAACCCTAAACCCTAAACCCCTTTACAGGGAAGCTTCAAGCCTTAAAACGGAACCCCTCAAAAATCGGCCAAGGCCCAGACATGTCTCAAGCCTCAAGGGAGTCCTCGATCGAAGTTCCAGGTGCCTTTAAGGGGTGGAGGGGGTTTAGGGTTTAGGGTTTGAGAGTATGGAGTTCAGGGTTTGGTTACTTGTATATAGGGTGTTATTACAGCTTTTTGGTGTATTTGAGGATCTTGGGCTCGGGTTTAGGCAGTTTTGGGGCAGTTTCAGGGGTTAGGAATGGCTGGTCCGCGTGTGAGAGCCGCATCGGTATCCTTGAGTTAGTGCGTTGTAGGTCGCACTTAAGACAAGACGTCTAGTTGTTCCGTGGGGGGTGATTTCTTGCTGAGGAGCTCCCAAAACAAAAATCTGATCCAATACTGTAAGAGGTGCTTATAGTAGCCAGAGGTTTTCCTATGACTTTCAGGGCTTGAATGTTGAAATGCCACTCTGCATCCTGTACAGCTCAGGGTTTAGGCAAGAGCCGAAGCCGGGACAAAGCCTTCGGCCATCATAAGACTGAGGGTTTAGGGTTAAGGGTATAGGACGCTCGCGCAGCCACAAGGTATAATCAGGGCTTCTATCATAGGCTGGGGCAAAAAGAGGCAACTCTAAGAATCCGGTGGATGGGCCCTGCGCTCGCGAGGAAACCAATCGCCCACAGATGCCGTGGCAGCTCTGAAAGCCGAATTCGATGCCCGGCCACATATCTGTCACAAGGGCCGGGCCTATGAGGTCTCCGGTATGAACTCATAGGGTTTCAGGACGAAGTCTTCCCAAACGAGGGGAGGCCTTAGCAGCTTTGCAATGGCTTAGTGAAGAGTGCTGGGCTACCTTTGCGACTCTTGAGCCATGTTGAACTGTAGCCCGAGGCCGATACCGAGACTATACCCATCAGCCCAGGAGGGGTTTGTGGACAAGTTGCGTGAGAAGT